ACTCACAGTGTGATTGTTGGACTTTGTTTACATCATACATACAGCATGCTGAACCCTTCGTCCTTCATCCAGTTACACATTTACACTGCTCTGTTCTGATTGTAATTTTAACACCTTGTCTCACAGCACTGTTAACATTTTGGGGACCCAAACATTTGTTTATTGACCTAACAATTTCTTAGAATACCTCTTCTTCTTCTTCTTCGTGTTTACCAGTTGTAAACTCCGGCAGAAAGTTCTGGTTGTTTGTCCTTGTTTCTGTTCCAGAACTTTAGTTTTGTGTGCACATCAAGTTGAACTGGTTTATCTGCGTGCAGACTTTTGGTTCCCTGCCTCTTAGGCAAAGCAACTCTGTCTTCAAAGGAAACATGATAAACAAGTCACCTTTTAGTTCACACTTGTTAGGGTGAAGGGGGTCTATCCCTTCACCACACTCCCCCTGGATCCCACAAAGAGATTTTTTTTTGGCCAAGTATCCAGAAATCATGAGTTGTTAACCTTTTGGCTCAGCACTATGGATATCGCAACCTTTCGCTCTTGATTCCATGACAGATACCGTAAATCTAGGAGTAATGTGGCTTTTCTGCCTACCCCCGGGCATGAACCCAAACCACAAGGAATTCGTTACCCGGTCGCCTCGCAGTCAGGTTTAACCAACTGTGCTAGCGAGCTGAGCTACAGAGATTCTTAAAATACAGCGAGCTGAAGTTACAGTAGCATCCACTTGACACTAAAAGTTTAGGGTGAACAAAAACTGAAGAAAAAAAAAGAAGAAACGTCAGTTTGAGACTTCAAACTATTGACCGGACACATGCCTCTAATTCTGGCCATGTTGCTTTGACTACAAGAAGTCTGATTATGGAGGTCATGGCAGAGACCAGAGCAGTAACACGGCTAAGAACACCGATTTTTACCTGCGCATGCGTTTTAAGTGAGTGTGTTCAGGAAGACAGAGACAGGCTGGGTCTGAAGACAGCAGTTGGAGTCTCCGAGGTGTTTGGAGCTGAAAAATATCAGTTTCATATTCATGCCAGGAAATGAGCTAGCTGATAGGCTTGCAGGTACAGCTACTGAGAGCAGATGAGCCCCAGACCAGGCCGATACACTGAATTCTTTATGAGAAGTAAGACGCTGGCGAGAGCCTAGTGATGACTGTGAATCTGCAACCATGACCAGACTGCAAGAACAGCATTGTTATAAGAGTAGCCAGACAAGAGCACTATGCAGGAAGCCAAACAAGAATAAGAAACCAAAACAGAACTGATGTTATCAGCCGCTATGTGCTGTGGGATTTACTGAGGAGGGGATCAAGAAATCATAGACTGGATGGTTCTATCTGTAATGAGGATTATCGGATCGTTACGGTCTAAAGAGAATGGTGCTGTGAGGAGTTACTAGGGGATCTGGATGACGCTCAACACTCGGGGAAAGGATGAGACGGAATAGCAACTCTTCCCTTGCTGCTGAAGATGGGGACTGAGCACTAATGGGAGTGTCCCGAGTTCTGTGATGTCGATTTTTAATTCAACATTCTTTTTTTGACGATAAACTGTTGACTAACTACATATGCCTCAAACCTTTCTCTAGTCTCAAATCATTGACGAAGGATTTTCTCAACAAAAACAAAAAAATACCAACGACATTACTAATAATTTATTTGTGAAAGCAGACACAGTAGAAAGTGGACTGGATAGCTAACAACATACACAAGACATCAGTGGTCATCATTTACACATTTATGTTTATGTAAACACAACATATGCCTACTGTCCTAGCACCAAATCTTCTAATGAATGTAGATGTCCAAACAAGCCTTGGTGGGTGTAAATTAACTTCCTGGTTCAAGAATCTGCAGCCACTTCTGTCAGCCTAACCTGTTTATACATCTCATCACTAGGTCTTTTCTATCGGCCTAACTTATTAATTTATCTGACCATTGAATTCATTCAATGCCTATGAACAAATCAGAGAATGGTTTTATCACTGGACAATATAAAGACTAGATCTCATTGTGTGTGCAACTAGACCAGCCAATAACTACATGACAAGCTGGCCAGTAAGTTGTGTAATGCTTGCTAAGAAGATGTCAGCTGATTATTGTCTGCCTGGTAGGACACAACTTGGCTCTTTCGGATCACAAGTAATGCCAAAATAAGAACACATCTGAACATCTACCCAGAAGAAAAGAAAAATCTTGTAAACTGAATATACAACAAAAGTCATGTCTACATCCACACAATATCCGATGTTCAACCAGCCACCACATCAACAGTCGCAGTCCCAGGGAGCTCAGTCTTCCTCTTCCTCCTCTGTCTTCTTCAAGTTCTTGATATCTTCGTACAATTTCTGAAGAGATAAAATTCTGATATATGTGTGTTGCTAATAACATTGTTCTTGTTAAGATTATAGAAATTATGAAGAGGGAAAATTCTGATATATATGTATACACACACACACATATATATGTCTTGTCTCGGAAGCTGAAAAATTTTGGCGATATCAAATGCCAGAGCAGATTGGAAAAGAATAATAGCAGAACCAGGAAAGAGGGGCAGATCAACACGAAGATGGGCACAGTATATAAGTGACTCCTTAAATTTGAAATTACACGAGGTGGAAAAGCTGGCGAGAGACCAAGTTTCTTTCAGGCAGACCGTGATGAGAGCCACGTTCTGCAAAGGAGCTACTACATGATGATACACACACATGCCATTATAGACAGAATTTCAGTTCGTTTTCTTTTTTCAACTCCAATGTAAAGGCGCTAAACTTTACTGATCATTAAGTCTCGTTAATTTCATTCTAGGTTTTAAAGCTTCGAGTGTCCTGGGGATATAAGTTTCTGCTTCTTCTGGCTGCCTCAATCATCAACACATCATGCTGTAAGGTGTCTTTGGCTGCCTCAATCATCAACACATCATGCTGTAAGGTTTCTTTGGTTTTATCCTTCATCATGTTGTTGGTCTACCTCATGTTTTATGTTCTCCCCCTCTTTTAGTGTTCTATGTTCTCCCCCCTGTAAAGCTTGGTATGGCATCACTAGGCATTTTTTTCTAAGTGGGTTAGGAGGCTGTGTGGTCTCGAGACATGGTGCGAGCGCTAGAGGTTCCGGGTTCAATCCCTGGTGAGGGCTGGGATTTTTTCACGTGGACTTGAACTTCTAGTAATTCCCCCTGGTCTCTGAAAGGTGAGATCGGACACCTGTGTGTATTGTTGCGCACGTTAAAAAAATCCCTCGGTGGTTGGAAATTGAAAAAAAGTAGCCTAACGGCACTGCCCGAGCAAAATTTAGAGTTAAAAATCTACCAAAGTATTTCAGGATCCTCGCCGGTGCTACAGAGCCTGTGCACTGTGCTGAGCTTCTTCGGACTCAGCCTTGAGCAAGAAGAAGAACAGAAAACTTATGGGTTACTACCCGTGTGCCATGATGATGATCCACTGTTCAAACGTCAAAGTGGGTTAACCATTTTATTTGCTGTCTCTGTATGTAATTTACAACTGGTTCTGTGCAGACGTTTTCTCCCATGACTGATTTTATCTTTTCTGTTCATTCCTGCATCTTTTTTTTTATGGTTACTAATTTTATTTTCTGATTTGTCAGTAACCACTGGGGTTCTTAATTTATAACGTACCCCAAACACGAAATCCCCGTGGGATATCCACAGCTGACCTGACAGTCCATTATTTCAAGGGGTGGAAGTGTGCTGTTGTGTGGTTTTTTTGTTTAGTGTTAATCTAGTGTCTTCTAATGCTAACCCTAAACTTGGCTGTAGATAAATCGCGAGAAACTACAACCTGAACACCCTAGAATTTATTGGGAATGTCTCCCGTGACGTTGTTGTGACGTCAGGGGTAAGTTATAAATTAAGTACCACCACTGGCAGCACAGAGTAGGAACATGCTTTGTTTTAGATGTTTCTTTGTGTTTATCAAATTGTCTTATTTTGCAAGAAGGGGACTTCGTGCTTTTTTAATATCCTACCCCAAACAGGGGGAATCCACAGGTCACGGGACAGTCTAATATTTCAGGGGGTGGTAGATAGACTGCATGCAGTCGTGGGACCTAGGCTGCACTCTCTAGTGGACATAGGTGGGTTGGGGTTAGGGCCAGTTCTATATGTTTTGGGGTCGTTAAAAACATCACAAAGCCAGGAAACCCAGTCTTACCACCTTCTAAAATGTTGGACTGTCCTGTGACGTCAACTGGGGTAGGATATTAATACAGCACTGGGGGCTTTTGTCCTGATACATACTGGTATATCTTCTCAATTTAAAAAAAAAACTGTCTCATTTATATCCAGGAACTGTAATCACATGTTTCAGATATATTGAAGAAAAAGATCACAACTCATGGAAATTAACAGATCATAGAACATGTCATACTGAATCTCTTTAGTACTACAGCTCTAAAAATCATATTAGTATCCATCATAATATAATAATACAGGGCCCTATAATAATATTATAATTAAAATAAGGATATGTGTGATTCCAGTAGTGGCGTGGCAGATTGATGACAGAGATAGAGAGATGATTGTCAGTGTTGAGAGATGATTGTCAGTGTTGTTGTCACCTCATCCAGAGAGTTACGGCAGTAGATATGTGTGGGTGATATTGTGGTCACAATAACCCACACTGAAAATAACTAGTTTTGTTACTGGCATGAGGACAGACAACTGGACAACAGGACGACATCATCCTCACTGAGTTAAAAGTTAGTTGCGTATTCTTTACAGGACATCACATTGCTCCTCATTGCAGAACCAACACAAGCATTTTTTGGCTGTTGTGGTTTTTCTAGGCAAATTTACGTCCAATAGTCTGCCACTGCTTTATACACGGTTGGCTTCTCAATACCACTGTTGAAACCAACGCAAGACCCGCAGCTGGGATCGAATCCGGCAACCTGACATTACGAATCATCACTGAGATTTAGAGTAATTTACTCATCAAAGTCAACCCAAGGTGTCGGGAAAATCGTCACGACATGCTTTACTTACCCCCTTATTTACTTGTCGAAAGTACTGCTCTGTGGCTACATTGAACGCTCGCTCGAAGGGATACGCCAAAACGATAGCAGTCAGGACGAACGTGGAAGTCCGCCTGAAGATAGTGTAGTGGACTTGTCGAACCAAATTGGCCAAGGACGGCATTTTCTCTTCTCTCTCGGGCGAAAAACAGAATCTGTGACGTCAGTTCCGGTGTGTCGATATTCGGTATGTCACAGTGTGTGACGAGCCTGGGTTATATATAATGCAGCCAACGCCAGCGTGTTTCTCCTTCTTCCTCGTGGCTTCCAAGGTCTTCACAGGGGTAGGGGGTAACGACGAATTCCCCCCCTCCCCAAGCATGTCGCACATGGCGACTAATTATGAGTTGGCTGAATTCGATGCGTTTGGCTGAAAAGCTTAGCTGCCCTCGCAACCTAGCTATACACTACTTCAATGTGCCAACCACAGATTTAAGGGTGAACGCAGAATTAAAAAAAAAAATCATAATCATGAGGTAATAATTTTATGCGAGGTAAAAATGTCCATCTTTTCCCCTATTTCAACCTATCTAATGCACAATTTTCGATATCCTGTATAGAATATAGTCACTAGTCCATTAACTTAGACCCATCTTTGAGTTCTTTTAGTCTATGTTAAACAAATTGACATGTATGGAGTGGCAGCGGTATGTGCCAGCTGTTACCAATTTGTCGAGTCCATTCCTTCTCATAACATGTCCAAAAATCCCTCACTGTCTACGACGATGCAACTGTTATAAATCTGTTTAAGAATTGATTCTGCCCTGAGGATGATTGCCTTATTTGTTGTTGTTTACCATTCCCTGATATTCTCTGAATTCTTTACAAAAACTACATCTCATCTGTAAGTACAACACAATAAAGGTAAAGGACGCTTTTTCATGCCTTCAAGCGTAGTGGGCATATAGGGATAGACCCGAGTGAAACACATCATCATCAGCATGTTGCAGGTCCTTTGCAGAACGTCGTTCTCATCCCTCTGCCTGAAAGAAACTCTGTCTCTCGCCAGCTCTCCCGCCTCATGTACTTTCATACTCAAGGAGTCACTTACATCCTGTGCCCATCTTCGTGTAGGTCGGCCTCTGCCCCTCCTTCCTAGTACTATGCTTTCTGCTATAAGTTTTTCCAATCCGTTGTGGCGCTTGATATGATCAAAATATTTCAGCTTCCGAGGCAGGATGCTGTTTATTAGCCAATCTTCCTTGATGTTCAGATCTCTATAGATGTCAGTATTGCTCCTCTTCTTTGTCCAAGTTATTCTGAGAATCTTTCTACAGCATTTCAGCTCAAAAAGCCCCTATTCTCTTTTTTAAGGACTGAGAGATAGTCCACGACTCACATCCGTATGTAGCCACAGGGAAGATGCATGTTCTCAAAATTCTAATTTTGATCTCCTTGCTGGTGCTTAACCATAGACTTTTAAGGCTGTTCAATCTTTGCATTGCTATGGCCATCCTCCTTTTAATTTCTGTCAAACAGTCTCCATTGCTGTTTATTAGAGAGCCTAGATATTCAAAGTTTGTGCCATTTTCAATTTCTTCATCATTTATTGTTATTTTTGGGTGACGACCAGTTTTATCTGTGGACATTATTTTCGTTTTCTTTAAATTCAAGAACAGATTTTGATTTTCACTGTGCTTTTGGACAGACAATATTGAATTTTATATTCCCTTTACGCTGTTTGAAGGAGGACTGTGTCACCTGCGTAGCGGAGTTCCGAAATAGGGTTGCCACCAATTTTGAGCGGATCATAACTGTCATAAGTCTGGTTATTTTTGACATTTCTCATTATAAGTGAAACACAACTTTGCTTAAATCGTGTTAAATAATCAAAGCAATGTTTCCCCGATGTGAATTTGAACAAAGAAGACACAAACAATAGACTGCACAATTTATTGCCTGGCATATTTCGCTGTATCTCGTCAGGTGCATACTACAGCAACAATTAATTAAAATGAAGCAAATAGCTGAATCCTAGAAACTGAAACACAAATTCGCAAGCTTTAGCAGATTGAAACCGGAACTGTGTAGGCACAAAGAAATGGTCGTTGCCCTACGCTCACCTTGGTGAAACAGTTTGAAATGTATTCGAATTTGTGTTTCAGTTTCTAGGATTCAGCTATTTGCTTCATTTTAATTTATTGTTTGTGTCTTCTTTGTTCAAATTAAATCGTTTTGTTTGCAATAACTGTGCACGGAGTGTCAGTTATGTTAAAACATGGATCAACAAATTAGCGAAACTGTGTTTACTTGAATATTCCACTTCTGCTACACAGAGGCAATTAATGGGCATTTTGAAATCCTGCAGCGGTTTTCTTGTTTACCTGTTTGAACTGCGTTGTTCGAAAGTTTGAACTACTTGAATGGTGTTGTTTACTTGTTGAACTGTTTTGTTTGCCTGCTTAATCTGTGTTATGTCATCATCATCAGCATTCCATAAAACTGCGTATAGTTTGGTCACCGGTTTTTGTTGGCTGTCTGATAAAACTCTCTCCACCTTTGACGGCCAGTTTGCGGTGACTTTATGGGTGCCGGAGGCCTGTCCAGTTAGTCAGGGTTTGTAACCAGGTCTTTCCTGGTCTGCCTCTTCTCCTCTTTTTCTCAACTGAGCCTTGCAGTATTGTTTTTGAGAGGCCATTATATCTTATTACATGTCCATGCCATTGCATTTTCCGGCTCTCCTTTGAATCGTTCCCCAAAATGGCGGCTTTAATGTGATGGCGTTTGAAAGAGAGCTAAATTGGCCAATTTCTGGCCATAAAATATCCAGAAATATCCTAATGCGGGTCAGTTCTATTAAAAATATATGTGCGGCTCCGGATAACGAAACAAATGCTCTGACAGGGTCTCGGCGATATGTTGCTTGCCGAACTGCTTCTGCGAGTGTGCCTCACCGCCGAGCGTATCCCCTGCGCTGCTACGCGCAGCGCGGATGGGGGCTAAACTAGATGGCTGGGACTCACGAGCGGCAGATACCGCATCTCCTGCAACATCCTCCAATTACTGTACTCGTGAGTCTCAGGCATTTAGTTTAGCCCCCATCTGCGCCGCGCGGGGGATACGCTCGGCGATGAGTTTAATCGCGTTTGGCGCATGCCAACAAGTCTGACATCTACTGCTGCTAAATCCTCCAATCGGAAGACCACAGTATTGCTAATCGGCTTTCATCGTCTGTAATGTCTCGAAAGTGGTCAACGGTCGCTAATATCGTCTGCACAAACGCTCGAAATTGTTGTCAACGGTCAGTATTTATCGTCTGCTACTAGTACCGTGTGCAAATGTTGATATTGATTGTCAAGTAATCCTAGTTTTGCCGCGATTTGTTCCTTGGCAGAAAGTCCGTATTTTAGATATACTCGAACACCGTCGTTCGGATATTTTATGGCCAGAATATGGCATGCCGCCATTTTGGGGAATGATTCAAAGAAAAAGAGTGCCCATTTTTCGCCTTTTCACTGAAGTAAAAAATGGTCCATAGTTGCCAGTGAATTATATGGCAAACCTACTCGTTTGTAATGTGGTCTTTGTATGATGTGCCAAGAATTTGCAGTGTTGTTTGCCTGCTTGAACTCTTAAACTATGCTGTTTCCTAGGTTGAACGTTTTATGTCATCCTACTGTGTTGTGTACCTTGAACTTTCTATTTTGTTGTTTGCCTGGTTAAACCATCTTTGCTTGTTTGTTCAAACTTTCTGTTTCATTGTTTTGCCTGGTGAAATTATTGTCTACCCTGTTAAACATTTGCCTATGAAAACTGTTGTTTGCCTGGTTCAGTACTTATTTGTTTGATTTGTTTGCACTATTATATTTGCCTGGTTGAACTGTGTTGTTTGCCTGGCTGAACTGTTGTTTGCCTGGTTGAGCTGTGTTGTTTGGCTTGTCAAACTTCTGTTTTGTTTGTATGTTTGAACTGTGTTGTTTACCTGGTTGAACTGCATTGTTTACCTGATTTAGCTGTGTTGTTTGCCTAGTTAATCTGTGTTGTTTGCCTGGTTGAACTTCTGTTCTGTTTGTCTGTTTGTACTGTTGTGTTTGCCTGGTTGAGACATGTTGTTTGGCTGGTTGAACTGAGTTTTTTACCTGTTTCATCTTTCTGGTATGCCGTTTCTCTGTTTGAACTTTCTACTTTGTTTACTATATGAATTTTGAACTGAATTGTTTGCCTGGTTGAATTTTCAACTGTGTTATTTTCCGTTTTGAACATTCAGCTTTATTGTTTCTCTTTACCATACAGGCTTTAGAAACACTTGAAGTCGGCCATGTTGAAAGTTGGCATCTGCACTGCTCTAAATCAGGACACTGTTAGAAAATTAAACAACGCTGGGGTCGTGTCTGCGCTCGACTTTTTACTGAGGGATCCTGAAAAATTGGCTCAAGAGTTACATATAGCATATAAGGTAAGACAGGCATGTCAGGTGAGGCTGTGATGTGTGGTGAGGCTTTATGTGTGAAGTGAGGCTGTGTTGTGAGGTGAGACTGTGGTGTGAGGTGAGGTTATGGTATGAGGGAAGGCTGTGGTTTGAGGTTAGGGTGACATATGAGATGAAGCAAGAGTGTGAAGTGAGGCTGGAGTGTGAGAAAAGAGGAACCGAGCACTTATAGACTGTCGTCTGTTTTACTTCTTTCATTCCAAGGATACATGCTCTATTCGCCGGGTACTGCTAGCAGAACACTCAGCCTACCCTGTGTCTGCAGCCACTTTGTATCAGACGGCTCTGTCATCACTGACCATCTTGTCCACCGGCAGTGAGAGGTAAATGTGTGAACTTTCATATTCTTGCCATGTTTTATGTTGTATGGTACAGTTCTTCTTCTTCATGTTCACCAGCTGTAAACTCCAGCAGAAAGTTCTGGTTGTACATCCACTTCTGGACTTTAGTCTTTTTTTTTCAGAGTCTGAGTATTGCATGCTCATACCTTTTACAGATCTGATTTATTTGTATAACTGTTGGTTCCTTGCCTCTCAGGCAGATCCACTTCTGCTTTGAAGAAAGCACCCAATTAATCGACTCTGACACGTGCTTATTGTGTGGTACAGTTCATTTAATTGTTATATGTTCTGTTTTTTTTATTTTTATTATATCTATGTTTGTTTGCCTGTCAGAGCTTCCTTCCTAGACCAGCTGCCAAGCAAGCCTAGGGGCCTGGTCTGCCTTACCATAGCATTACATTTTCTGGTAGCATTTCCTCTTTCTAGGTTTGAGGTTTGAACAATGTATCAACAACATATCACACAGGTAGTAACCCATAAGTGCTCTGTTTTTCTTCTAACTCAAGTCTGAGTCCGAAGAAGCTCAGCACAATGCACGGGCTCTGTAGCACCGGCGAGGATCCTGAAACACTTTGGGTAGATTTTTAAACTCAAAATTTTGCCCAGGCAGCGTCATTAAGCTACTCTTTTCAATTTCCAACTGCCAACGGATTTTTGTTTTTTATTTGTGCAACAATGCACACAGGCATCTGATCTCACTACCCAGAGGCCAGGGGGAATTACTAGAAGTCCAAGTTCATGTTATACATGAAAAAATCCCAGCCCTTACCGGGGATTGAACCCAGAACCTCTAGCACCCGAGGCGGACACCATGCCTCAAGACCATGCAGCCCCTAGAATAAGGCTGGTATCCTCTCCCCAGGGCGACGTTTTGCTTAAATCCAAAATTCAACCTTCTGAATGTGAATTCAATGAGATCAAAACAAGAGTGTTACACAGCTGTATAGAACCTGTGCTGCTGTTTGCAAGTGAGACACTGACAGTAATCAGACAAGCTGACAGTTATAGTTGAGATAAGCGTTTTGAGAATGCAGAGAATTTGTTGAATGTTGAATTAAGAATCGACATAACAGCACTCAGGATACCCCCATTAGCGCTCCATCTCCATGTTCAGCAGCAAGTGAAAGTTAAAATTCTGATGGTACCACAGAATATTGTGAAGTGTAAAATGATTGGAAAAAACCAAGAAGGCTAGAGCAGATGAAAACTAGAAACTATTGTTTTTGTTGGGGGGGGGGGATTTTACCACATTCAGCCCTGCTAAGAACAGCTTTGGTTATAATTGTTGTGATATTTTTTCTTTACCCCATATTCAATGGCTTGAATGTCCCTAGCTGTGTGATGGTGTGCCAAGAGTGGTGACTGATTATCCCTAGTTGTGTGATGTGCCAAGATTGGTGACTGATTATCCCTAGTTGTGTGATGTGCGAAGAGTGGTGGCTTATTATCCCTAGTTGTGTGATGTGCCAAGAGTGGTGACTGATTATCCCTAACTGTGTGATGTTGTGCCAAGAGTGGTGGCTTATTGTCCCTAGCTGTGTGATGTTGTGCCAAGAGTGGTGACTGATTATCCCTGGCTGTGTGATGTTGTGCCAAGAGCGGTGACTGATTATCCCTAGCTGTGTAATGTTGTGCCAAGAGTGGTGGCTTATTGTCCCTAGTTGTGTGATGTGCCAAGAGTGGTGGCTTATTATCCCTGGCTGTGTGATGTTGTACCAAGAGGGGTGGCTTATTATCCCTGGCTGTGTGATGTTGTGCCAAGAGTGGTGGCTTATTATCCCTAACTGTGTGATGTTGTGCCAAGAGTGGTGGCTTATTATCCCTAGCTGTGTGATGTTGTGCCAAGAGTGGTGACTGATTATCCCTGGCTGTGTGATGTTGTGCCAAGAGTGGTGACTGATTATCCCTAGCTGTGTGATGTTGTGCCAAGAGTGGTGGCTTATTGTCCCTAGTTGTGTGATGTGCCAAGAGTGGTGGCTTATTATCCCCAGCTGTGTGATGTTGTACCAAGAGGGGTGGCTTATTATCCCCAGCTGTGTGATGTTGTGCCAAGAGTGGTGGCTTATTATCCCTAGCTGTGTGATGTTGTGCCAAGAGTGGTGGCTTATTATCCCTGGCTGTGTGATGTTGTGCCAAGAGTGGTGGCTTATTATCCCTGGCTGTGTGATGTTGTACCAAGAGGGGTGGCTTATTATCCCTGGCTGTGTGATGTTGTACCAAGAGGGGTGGCTTATTATCCCTGGCTGTGTGATGTTGTACCAAGAGTGGTGGCTTATTATCCCTGGCTGTGTGATGTTGTACCAAGAGGGGTGGCTTATTATCCCTGGCTGTGTGATGTTGTGGCTCTGAACATGTCTGGCTCCTCCATTGTAGTCCAGATGAGGATTCTACTTTTCATGTCTTATTTTCCTGTCTTCTGCGTGTAATAGTTTTGTGCCTCACTGTGGCTGTCTTCCTCATATCTCATGTGTTTTCTTCACTGTGGCTGTCTTCCTCATATCTCATGTGTGTTCTTCACTGTGGCTGTCTTCCTCATATCTCATGTGTTTTCTTCACTGTGGCTGTCTTCCTCATATCTCATGTGTGTTCTTCACTGTGGCTGTCTTCCTCATATCTCATGTGTGTTCTTCACTGTGGCTGTCTTCCTCATATCTCATGTGTTTTCTTCACTGTGGCTGTCTTTCTCATATCTCATGTGTTTTCTTCACTGTGGCTGTCTTCCTCATATCTCATGTGTTTTCTTCACTGTGGCTGTCTTCCTCATATCTCATGTGTTTTCTTCACTGTGGCTGTCTTCCTCATATCTCATGTGTGTTCTTCACTGTGGCTGTCTTCCTCATATCTCATGTGTGTTCTTCACTGTGGCTGTCTTCCTCATATCTCATGTGTTTTCTTCAATATCTCATGTGTTTTCTTCACTGTGGCTGTCTTTCTCATATCTCATGTTTTCTTCACTGTGGCTGTCTGCCTCATATCTCATGTGTTTTCTTCACTGTGGCTGTCTTCCTCATATCTCATGTGTGTTTCTTCACTGTGGCTGTCTGCCTCATATCTCATGGTTTTCTTCACTGTGGCTGTCTTCCTCATATGTCAGTTTTCTTCAGCTGTCTTCCTCATATCTCATGTGTTTTCTTCACTGTGGCTGTCTTCCTCATATCTCATGTGTTTTCTTCACTGTGGCTGTCTTCCTCATATCTCATGTGTTTTCTTCACTGTGGCTGTCTTCCTCATATCTCATGTGTTTTCTTCACTGTGGCTGTCTTCCTCATATCTCATGTGTTTTCTTTTTCCTTCAGGGGTTTTATGTCTTGTCTTTAATCCTTAAGATCTCATCCTCATTTATGTCCTTGTTGGGTGTTTGTCTTGTTCTTTCAATAGAATCTTTATATGGGTCGGTCCTTTTAAGTTTGTGTACTGATCTCTGAGTGTCCCTAATGACTAAGATTACTGTAAACTCATTCGAGCAATTAGAGGTAGACGTGCCAAGATCGATAAAAGAAAGTCACCATGTGGGTTCAGGGGTCCCATTGTGGGGAAAACAAGAATTGACCCTCTGCCTGTCCAAAAGCATGTCATAAGAAGTAACTAATTAGGAGCTGCCTTCAAAGTCAGTGTACATCAGCCTGAGAGGCAAGGAACCAACAGTCTGGGTGTAGCTGAGTCAGAAGTGGACGAACAACCATGAAGTTTCTGCCGGAGTTTACAGCCGGTGAACGTGAAGAAGAAGATGAAAGACAGCGTAAGGGAAAGGCGGAGACATAAATCCATGAAGACTTAGCCACATCACATGGATGGGGACGAAACAATAACTGACCTGATCCTGGATTCTGGTGATAGTTGTAGATGAAGAAATTTGAGAGCCTGTGCTTGTTGGCATAGCACATGATGCTGATGACGAAACAAGCGTAAAATGTTTATTGTGTCCACATGATACAAGTTTATATCTAAACTTCTTTAGCCTGGATCAGCTTCTAGACGGTGGCTTGTATACAGGGGAGCTCACTCAGATTGCTGGAGACAGCAGCGCAGGAAAAACACAAGTAAGGTTCATGCCAAGTGTGAAGAAGTCAAGATTTTGTATGCAGCGTAATATTGTTGTATTTGTCAAATTTACTTAATCAATAGACTTTGTTTTCAGTATGGCGATAATCTGCTGTGTTATTTTTTGGTGGCTGTAATTTCTCTCGGATTATTTTGCTCTCTCATCATGGGCTGCTATTTTGTGCGTGTTTCCAGTGCAGGGTACATTATTTTTTTTCGTGGGGGCTGTGCGTATTGTGGCTGTGCGTATTGTGGCTGTGCGTATTGTAGCTGTGCGTATTGTGGCTGTGTTGAGGCAGGATGCTGGACAATAGTTTTTGCAGCCTTGAACACTCTGTTCTTCCATTGTTTGGATCGCAGCGTTCCACTGTCCGGGAAGACAGAATCTCATGAGCGGGAGAACCACAAACTGTCAAGTGCAGTGATTCCCCAAACTGTGAAGCCGTGACCTTTTCACAGGAGTGCCTCGAAATATTCGAAGATGCACAAGTTTTTTTGTCTTTTTTTAAATCTCTTACACACGAATAGTCCTACTTTTACTTCGGTTAGGGCGCCGTAGAAAAATTTTAATCTCTTACACACGAATAGTCCTACTTTTACCGAGGTTAGGGCGCCGTAGAAAAATTTTAATTGAAAAAATGTGCAGCGACTAAGACAAGTTTGGGAAACACTGGTTTAGAGAGTAGACTCGATAAAAGCTGTCCCCAGAAACAGAATCTGTTAACCTGTTTTTTTTTTTCAGGGACAGGAGTGGGGAGGAATCAACATATACGGTTAACTCATTGGCCAAATTACCTAATTGAATCTGTTGTAATTGTACCAGTGAAGTTATTAGATGGGGGCTGCATATAGTTGTATTTGTTAATTTACTGAATTAAATCTGTTGTTGTTTTTCCAGTTTTTTTTCTTCGATCCTTTTTGCCTTTAATGGATGAGTGGCACATTGTGTTGTGGTTTACAGCTAGCTGTGATATCTGATTTCAGCAAACCCCCTAATTAGTCACCTTTTATGACCCTATTGGAGCAGTGGGTCTGTTCATGCATAATAATAGGTTCCAAGAACACACGTGGGAGATAGCACAAGTTAAGAGTATTTCCCACATAAACTGTACCTCCCACACATAAAGTATACATCACTTATATATTTTATATCTTATACATAAACTGTACATTCCATGCATTAACTATACATCACTCATATAATTTGCAAATCATATATATAAACTATACATCCCATGCACATAATTTACATCCTATAAATAAACTACACATCCCACACAAAAACTTTACATCCTACATGTAAACTATACATCTCATACATAAAGTATACATATTTTTCTTATCCATTAACTACACATTCCACAATAACCTATAGATCTCACACATAAACTATACATCTCACACATAAACTATACACCTCTCACATAAACTATACATCCCACATATAAACTGTACATCTAACACATAAAGTATACATCTCACACATAAACTGTGCATCCCACACATAAACTGTGCATCCCACACATAAACTGTACATCTAACACATAAACTATGCATCCCGCACATAAACTGTGTGTCCTACACATAAACTATATCTCAAACATTGTACACAAATATCTTCAAAAGATATGCATGCTCTGTGCTGCATCCCACACATAAACTGTACATCTCCCACATAAAGTATACATCTCACACATAATCTGCACATCACACACATAAAGAGTAAATCTCACACATAATATGTACATCACACACATAAACTATACATCTGACACATAAACTATACATCGCACACATAAACTGTACATCTCCTACATAAAGTATACATCTCACACATAATCTGTACACCACACATATAAAGTATACATCTCACACATAATCTGTACACCACACACATAAAGTATACATCTAACACATAATATGAACATCACACCCATAAACTATACATCTGACACATAAACTATACATCTGACACATAAACTGTGTGTCCTACACATAAACCATACCTCAGACATTAATTGTACACAAATATCTTCAAAAGATATGCATGCGCTGTGCTGCCACAGTTGTGGGCACTGATGGACAGTCAGTCGTCTACATGGACACAAGCTCTGGCTTCAGTGTTGAGTGCTTTGTGGCTCTGCTGTCAGAAGATTTGACCCAATTTCCTGCGGTAAGTATGGTACCAGATTCAGTGATGCTTTCATTATTCTGTTTGTCAGAATGATCTCTTTCTATCTGTACTGTTAAAAAAGCAAGTGCCTAGCTACCCAGGGATGCTTTACTACTGAAAAAAAACAAACACATAGCTACTCAAAGGAGCATAACCATATCATAATTTTGACATTCCAAATCTGTGTAACTTAACGAGTGAAATTGTTTAAATTGCACACAAGAATACCTTAGGGTTCAACCAGTCAGATGACATTTGTTTTTCATCTGGGTCCTTAACAGTTTTTTAGGGTACTTTGTTTTAAATCACCCTAAACAAGGGAAATTGCAGTTTCTAGAAAAGTCCAATATTCTAGGGGTGTTATGGGTTAGGTTTAGGATCTCTGTCAGTCCCTACTGCCTCAGAGACACTGACTAGCCCTAACCATAACTCCAACACATAACTTTCTTTAAAAAAAGCTAAGTACCATTTTCCAGGCCTTTAGGTGTATAGGGCATATAGTAGGGCTAGACCTATATTCTGTAGACCAATCGGCACAAGATGGGTGATGTGGTCAGCATCATGCCGGCTATCTTTACTTTCCTGGACTGCACCCGGTACCCACTTAAGGCTGGGTCAACCTGGCAGCCAAGGTTATCTTTTAAAAAATTCCAGCCCCACCAGGGAGCGAACCCACAACCATCCGATCTGTGGCGAGCGTCTAGTCGCTTCACCATGGCAACTCCCATAACATTCTTAGAATATAGGATTTTCCAGGGAACTCTGAGATTTCCTAGTTTAATGTGAATTAAAAATAATGTACCATTTTTAGTGTAGTCTTTTCTGTCAGCTCATAAAAATGTGTCATGAGTTATTCAACACTTGTTAGAGGTCATTGTTTTTTAAAACACATGTTAGAAGTCAGTGTTTATCAAAACATATGTTAGAAGTCAGTGTTTATCAAAACACATGTTAGAAGTCATTGTTTATCAAAACACATGTTAGAAGTCATTGTTTATCTAAACATATGTTAGAAGTGATTGTTTATTATAACACATGTTAGAAGTCATTGTTTATTATAACACATGTTAGAAGTGATTGTTTATTAAAACATATGTTAGAAGTCAGTGTTTATTAAAACACATGTTAGAAGTCAGTGTTTATCAAAACATATGTTAGAAGTCAGTGTTTATTAAAACACATGTTAGAAGTCAGTGTTTATCAAAACATATGTTAGAAGTCAGTGTTTATCAAAACACATGTTAGAAGTCATTGTTTATTAAAACACATGTTAGAAGTCAGTGTTTATCAAAACATATGTTAGAAGTCAGTGTTTATCAAAACACATGTTAGAAGTCATTGTTTATTAAAACACATGTTAGAAGTCAGTGTTTATCAAAACACATGTTAGAAGTCATTGTTTATCAAAACACATGTTAGAAGTCATTGTTTATTAAAACACATGTTAGAAGTCAGTGTTTATTATAACACATGTTAGAAGTCATTGTTTATCAAAACCTATGTTAGAAGTCATTGTTTATCAAAACACATGTTAGAAGTCATTGTTTATTATAACACATGTTAAAAGTCAGTGTTTATTATAACACATGTTAGAAGTCATTGTTTATCAAAACACATGTTAGAAGTCATTGTTTATTATAACACATGTTAGAAGTCATTGTTTATTCTTCTTCTTCTTCGCGTTCACCAGCTGTAAACTCTGGCGGAAGGTTCTGGTTGCTCGTCTACTACTGAACTGCAGTCCTGCTTCAGAACCTGAGTGTTGCGTGTGCATCAGTTTTACAGATCTCATTCTCTTGATTACAGACTGTTGGTTCCTTGCCTCTCCGGCAGACGCACTCCGTCTTCAAAGGAAGCTCCCCAATTAGTTGACTCTTACAACATGCTTTTGGGGAGGCAGTGGGTCTATTCTTGTTTTCCCCACAATGGGGCCCCGGAACCCACACAGGGGAAATCATTGTTTATTAAAACACATGTTAGAAGTGATTGTTTATTAAAACACATGTTAGAAGTCATTGTTTATCAAAACAAGTGTTAGAAGTCATTGTTTATCAAAACATATGTTAGAAGTCAATGTTTACCAAATAACAAGATAGAAGTCAGTCTTTATCAAATAACAAGATAGAAGTCAGTGTTTACCAAAAAACAAGATAGAAGTCAGTGTTTGCCAAATAACAAGATAGAAGTCAGTGTTTACCAAATAATAAGATAGAAGTCAATGTTTACCAAATCACAAGATAGAAGTCATTGTTTACCAAATCACAAGATAGAAGTCAATGTTTACCAAATAACAAGATACAAGTCAGTGTTTACCAAATAACAAGATATAAGTCAATGTTTACCAAATAACAAGATACAAGTCAATGTTTACCAAATAACAAGATATAAGTCAGTGTTTATCAAATAAGAGCAAGTGGATGTATTTTTGTTCTTCAGACTGAGAGGGCTCAGACATGGCTACAGTCTCGTCTCAAACATGTCAGCTACGTTCAAACATTTGATGTTTTTGAGCTGTTTGCTGCACTGGACACGCTGGAGACAGACTTAACGAAACAGGTCTGGGTTTTGTCGTTATTTTTGTTGTTAGTCACATTGAGAATTTGAGAAACCTTGTTTGCTCGAACATATAATGTCAGGAATCCCATGTTGTGGTACAGCTACTGAATCTCATGTAAAGATATCAAACCAACTTATCCCCCTTTGTAGGTTCCAGAGCCCTGTTATAGGGAACACAAAAATAGACAGCCTCCCCAAAAGCATGTCATAAGAGTCGACTATTTGGGAGCTTCCTTCAAAGTCGGAGTGCATCTGCCTGAAAGGCAAGGAACCAACAGTCTGCTTACACATTAGTCAGATCAGTCAAACAGATGCACACGCAACACACAAGTTCTGGAACAGGACTGCAGTCCAGAGGTGGACGAACAACCAGAACTTTCCACCAGAGTTTACAGCTGGTGAACACGAAGAAGAAGAGAAGAAAACCAACTTAAACATAGAACAAGTCAGCTTGGCATTATCACAAATACAAACGACGACTGAACATTGCGGCTTACACAGCTATCATCAGCACATTATATGGATTGACAATGCTACAAATATGAACAAGAGTGCACAAAATCATTTGAGTGAAGCATTTTACTTGTCTGTCTGGCCAGTTGCATCTCTGGTATGAAAACCGGAAATGAAGAATATTCTGAAAAATCTGTTTCAGACAAGGGCCATAACTCAGAATATTAAATGTTACTGAGTCTGACTGGTCTTTGTGAGAAAATTGTGTCTGGAGATAAAAGTACAGAGGGAGTGACCAGGGATCTGGCTGACACTCTACACTCGGAGAAAAGGTGGGATACGAAATCCAACTACCATCAGCATTAAAATAATTTTTTTTTCTTGCTGCTGACAGTGGGGATTGAGCACTTATGGGAAAGTCCAGAGTCCTGTGATGTGGTTCTTAACTTAGCTCATCTCAGCTGGACTTTTTATGTTTCCTTCTGCATTTCCCCAAGAATAAGATGATTGTGTGTGGGATGCACACTGTTTTTGGCCCTTTACTTTTGGGAAAATATGTGTCTTATATTTGAGGATCCCTGTATGGGTTCCAGGGCCCTATTATAGGGAAAACAAGAATAGACCCACTGCCTACCCCAAAAGCATGTCCTAAGAGTTGAATAATTGGTAGCTTCCTCTTCGAAGTCAGAGTGCATTTGTCTGAGAGGCAAGAAACCAGCAGTCTGCATACAAATGAGTCAGATCTGTGAAACAGATGCACATGCAACACTCAGGTTCTGGAACATGGCTGCAGTCCAGCAGTGGATAAACAACCAGAACCTTCTGCCAGAGTTTACAGCCGGTGATCGTGAAGAAAAAGAAGCAGATATTCGAGGAAATATAAGTATCGCATGTCTACTTTGACCCTGAAATGTTTTCCTATGACCACTTCTCCTTATGAGATATTGAGTATCTGATTACTCCAGCCCTGCGATAATATTTTATGACTATTTCTATCCTGGGATGTTTCTCTCCCGGGATGTTACTATCCTGGGATGTTTCTATATTGGGATGCTTCTCTCCTAGGATGTTTCTATCCTGGGATGTTTCTCTCCCGGGATGTTACTATCCTGAGATGTTTCTATATTGGGATGCTTCTCTCCTAGGATGTTTCTATCCTGGGATGTTACTATCCTAATTGTTTCTGTCCTGGGATGTTACTATCCTGGTATGTTTCTATCCTCGGATGTGGAGTATCTGACTACTACCATGGGATGTTATAACTACTTCTACTCTGGTATCATGACTACTAGCCAATCTTCGTTGATGTTAAGATCTTAAAGGATTTCATTATTTCTTGTTTCTTGGTCCATGGTGTTCTGAGAATCTTTCTGTAGTATTTCAGCTCAAAAGGAGGACTACTACTGCTACAAGGGTAGTTGCGAAAGTAATACCTTGAAAGACATAACTTTGTTAAAATACATAATGCACACACGAAAGATACATTTTCCAAAAGTGTGGGATGTCCTTTAAGCAAGATGCCTTTAATGTTCAACATAGCACCTCATTTCACAGACATACACAGACACAGACACACCAGCATGGAACATGTTTTCAAATCACATTGAGGGGAGGAAAAAATTGAACAAGTTTTCATGAAACCAGGAACACACATTGGCTGCCACATCCTGTTCTATATCTGTTCCCCTTGTGATGTTCCTTGAGCTTTTGGGAACAGAACAAGTTACAAGGGGCCAAATCGGGACTACATGCATGATGCCCTAAAATGTTGTCACACTTGAGACACTTCAGGGCATCACCTTACTTGAAGGATATCCCAAGCTTTCAGAAAACGTATATTTCATGTGTACATTGTGTATATTAACAAAATTAAGTTCTTGGAGGTGTTATTTTTCAAAACATCCTAGTATTTTCTTCCTTTTTGACTGCAAGATAGTCCACGACTCACATCTGTGTGTTGCTAAAGAAGAGATGCATGATCTCAGAATTTTCACTTGCCAGTACTTAATAATAGTCTTTTCACGCTGTTCAATCCTTACATTGCTGTGGCCATCCTCCTTTTGACTTCTGTTGAACAGTCTCACTTGCTGTTTATCTTGGAGCCTGGATATTCAGAGTTATGACATTTTCAACTTCTTCATCGTTGATTCTTATTTTTGGGTACCAGGCACTTTTATCTGTGAACATTATTTTTGTTTTCTTTAAATTCATGAACAGGTTCCAGATACATCTGCTGGAATTATTAAATAAATTCCAGATAAATTTGTAGGAATTGTGAAATAAATTCCAGATAAATTTGTAGGAATTGTGAAATAAATTCCAGATGCATTTGCTGGAATTGTGAAATAAATTCCAGATGCATTTGCTGGAATTGTGAAATAAATTCCAGATGCATTTGCTGAAATTGTGAAATAAATTCCAGATGCATTTGCTGGAATTGTGAAATAAATTCCAGATGCATTTTTTGGAATTGTGAAATAAATCCCAGATGCATTTATTGGAATTATGAAATAAATTCCAGATGCATTTGCTGGAATTGTGAAATAAATTCCAGATGCATTTGTTGGAATTGTGAAATAAATTCCAGATGCATTTGTTGGAATTGTGAAATAAATTCCACATGCATTTGTTGGAATTGTGAAATAAATTCCAGATGCATTTGTTGGAATTGTGAAATAAATTCCAGATACATTTGTTGGAATTGTGAAATAAATTCCACATGCATTTGTTGGAATTGTGAAATAAATTCCAGATACATTTGCTGGAATTGTGAAATAAATTCTAGATACATTCGCTGGTAACTTTCAGAAACTTTTGCTGAAATTATAAACTAAATACCAGATACAATTGCTAAACTTATAAGATAAATGCCAGATACAATTGCTAAATTTATCAGATTAATGCCAAATACCCACTAACTTGCAGATGCTGTCAGGTTGTCAGACAGTGAAACTGGTCATCATTGACAATATTGCCTCAGTGATACAGCCAATCATGGGGGGACGATCTGGCCACAGTAAGTCCGGCTGTTAGAACTCTCAGACGTTGAAAGTATCATCAGTCAGAGATAAATTTGTGTCATCAGTTAGTAAATAAATTTTGTATCATCACTTACTAGACGAATTTGTATCATTAGTTAGTAGACAAATTTGTATCATCATTTTCTAGATAAAGGGGCGTCAGTGGCTTAGGTGTTGTGAGTCCGACTCGTAATTCCAACATACCACGATCGAAACCCACTGCTGGCTGCCTGGATTTTTATCATGGTTTGAGGCGTCGCAGGTCGACCCAGCCTAAAATGAGTACCAGGATGGGCTGTCCTGGGGAAGTAAAGACGGCCGGCGTAATGCTGACCACATAACCCACCTAGTACCGATTGGTCTGTAAAAAAATGCCTGATGGGCCTAAAGGCATGAAAAGGGTTCTTTACTTTGCTTACTAGATACATGTGTATAATTAGTATTAATTAGTAGATAAATATGTATCATCACTTACTAAATGAATTTCTATCATCATTTAGTAGATAAATTTGTATCATCCGTTACTAAATAAATTTGTATCATCACTTACTAGATAAATTTGTATAATCGAATAGTAGACCCAATCGTTTCATCATTTAGAAAGAAAAAAGTCTTATCTTTAGTTAGTAGACAAATCAGACTGCTAGAGATATATAGATGATTATTATTACACTGTGGATCAGGGTATCAGAGGTGTCTAGATGATAATATTGGATTTGGAATCCAGCTATTGGAAGTAGCTAGGTGGTAATATGATATTGTGATCATCCTACTAGAGACATGTCAGCATTATAATATTATATTGGGATTAGGTTGACAGAGGTTTCTAGCTGATTTCTTCTTCTTCTTCTTCTTCTTCTTCTTCTTCTTCTTCTTCTTCTTCTTCTTTTTCTTCTTCTTCTTCTAAATTCTTCTTCTTCTTCTTGGTCTTCTTCTTCTTCTTCTTCTTCTTTAGCTTCTTACCCCAGAACCTAAACTTTGCTTCTCTTCATTTTTACGGACCTTCTTCTTCTTCTTGTTGCAGACTGGTTCCTGGCCTGACAGGCAGATGCACTCTAATCATACAGGAAACACCCTTAACTAGTTACCTCTTCTTCATGCTTGTTCTTCTCCTTTTTTAAAAAAACCTAAAATGGGGTCATGGAAACCTCAAAGGGTTTAATACTTCTTGTGGAGAAGTTCTGGTTTTTTGATACACTGTCTCTACTTTGGACCATTGTCCCAGAAGTAAACTTTGCATGTACATCTGTTGTACAGACTTGGCTTTTTTTTGTACGCAGACTGTTGGTTCCTGGCCTGACAGGCAGATGCACTCTAATCATACAGGAAACACCCTTAACTAGTTACCTCTTAGGACATGCTTGTTAGGAAGCAGTGGTTCTACTTTTTTTTCAACTTAAATGGGGTCATGGAAACCTTGAAGGGAAGTTGATAATATTATACAGGACATTGGAATACAAGAAATGTCTAGGTTATAATGATACAAATATATCTACCAATAAAACCGTTGTATCTAGTAACCTGTGATACAAGTGTCTATAATTGGTGAAACAGTTGTATCTAGTAACCTGTGATACAAGTGTCTATAACTAGTGAAACAGTTGTATCTACTAACCTGTGATACAAGTGTCTATAACTGGTGAAACAGTTCTATCTGCTAACCTGTGATACAAGTGTCTATAACTAGTGAAACAGTTGTATCTACTAACCTGTGATACAAGTGTCTATAACTAGTGAAACAGTTCTATCTGCTAACCTGTGATACAAGTGTCTATAGCTAGTGAAACATTTTTATTTACTAACCTGTGATACAAGTGTCTATAACTGGTGAAACAGTTGTATCTTCTAACCTGTGATACAAGTGTCTATAACTGGTGAAACATTTGTATCTGCTAACCTGTGATACAAGTGTTTATAACTGGTGAAACAGTTGTATCTGCTAACCTGTGATACAAGTGTCTATAACTGGTGAAACATTTGTATCTGCTAACCTGTGATACAAGTGTCTATAACTGGTGAAACAGTTGTATCTCCTAACATGTGATAAAAGTGTCTATAACTGGTGAAACAGATTAGATTGTATCTACTAACCTGTGATACAAGTGTCTATAACTGGTGAAACAGTTGTATCTACTAACCTGTGATACAAGTGTCTAAAACTGGTGAAACAGTTGTATCTACTAACCTGTGATACAAGTGTCTATAACTGGTGAAACAGTTGTATCTACTAACCTGTGATACAAGTGTCTATAACTGGTGAAACAGTTGTATCTACTAACCTGTGATACATGTGTCTGTAACTGGTGAAACAGTTGTATCTACTAACCTGTGATACAAGTGTCTATAACTGGTGAAACAGTTGTATCTACTAACCTGTGATATAAGTGTCTCTATAATTGGTGAAACAGTTGTATCTACTAACCTGTGATATAAGTGTCTCTATAACTGGTGAAACAGTTGTATCTACTAATTGATATACAACCTGGTTGATCAGAGATCCAGCTAATAGCAAGCTGTAGTGGGTCATACCAGTTGAATCCTTTTTTCAGGAGAAGGCTTCCTCTCACAGATTGGGCTCAAGCTGAAACAGATGGCAATTCATTTTTCCCTGGCAGTTTTGGTGAGATATGGGACTGTGTGACTGTTGATATGCATGGTTAGATTATGAAGATATTGACACAGATTAGATTGTGAGGCCATTCATGCATGTTATATTATGTGAATACTTACACATTATCTCATGCTAATTATTCTCAAGAAGTGCTAAATATAAAATAAAATGTGACTAGAAAGTTAATGCAGAGGGACTGGAAAAGACACGCACAGATAGTCAAACGTTTCAACCAATGTCTTTATCAGCAGAGCGCTATACTAGATACAGCACAAACTATGACTGGAAAACTTAGCGAACAAGACAACAGAGCCTCGTAAAGACTAAGGTAAAAATAAAACCAAGAAGTACATAATTAGGCTTGGAGTCCATGCCATGGGGGGGGGTGTTAATTAATATGAAGGGCTATAACACAAAACTAAATAAGTAAGAAGGGTATGTAAAATGAGGAGAACAAATAGAAATAAGTCAAATAAATGAACAAGTTAATAAATTAAATTGAATAAAGCTGTGTTGAATATCAGTTCCTCCAGGACTGAGAATTATTTACAACTACATTATGAAAGCAGTCACCTGTTCTTAGATGGAAAATTGTTGTATATTGTTTTCTCTTGAGTGTTCATGGGGTCTTGACAATGTTTTTACTAGTTCTCACTCACCATTGCTAGGGTCTGATTCCTATGTCACCCTAAAACTTGTGGAACACTGTCATGTCAAGTGGGTTCCGGTGCCCCATTTTGGGTGGAAACAACAGCGAGATCAACAGCCCCCCAACAGTCATGTTGTTAAAGTGACAGAGTTAGGGATTTGCTGAAATCAGATGTGTTAGGCCGACTGTACGATATCCCAGCCTAGCTGTAAACCACAACACTACATGCCAGCAGCCTTTGTAAGAGGGAGTGCAGAAAAATAAGTGCAGGGTCTCCACGACTTGAGTCAAATTTATATATTTCAACACTATTTACATTAAATCGGGTTATACAAATTAGAAATAAAACACAAACATTCAGTCTGTATACTTGTAATAAAATTATACTGCGCTCCAGACACAGATTCTGAGAACTTTTTGACATTAACCAGTCTAGTTATATTAATTTTTTGAAAACTTCTTTTTGGTTAAAAAAGTCACTATCATATCATCAGATGGAAAATGTGTGACAGAGATTAAAAGCAGAATAGGTCGAGCAAAAGCTGCGTTTCAAAAAATGAAAAATATCTTATGCAATAAATAGCTCTCATTTAATGTCAGAAAGAGGGTGCAAAAATGTTACATATAACCTGTTCTGCTGTATGGCAGCGAATCTTGGAATGTCACTAAACAAACTAAGGAGAATTTGGAAGCAACAGATGTGGTTTCGGAGACAAATGTTACGAATACTTTGGACGGACAGAGTAACTAACAATGATTGCTTGAAAGAAGCTAGTAACAGTAGATCTCTTTATACAACAATAAGAAAGAGACAAACACTGTTCTTTGGTCACATAATGAGAAGACAGTCATTAGAGAACATCATGACAACTGGAAAGATCAGTGGGAAAAGGGGTAGAGGCAGACCAAGAGAGATGATGCTGAATGGTCTGAAACGATGGCATGGAGGGATATCATCAAGTGAGCTGTTCCGGGCAACAAGGGATCATGATCTGTGGAGACGCATGAGCGCCTGCGTCAGTTGGCAGGGCAGATGATGATGATGATGCATAAGTCACAGAGGTAGCAAGTCGGGGAGAAGATGTAGTCTTTTAGACTGTTGCTCGGCAGTAGCTTGATATTATCATCCCTCTTATATCGCTGTCTATCTGTCACTCACCTGGCTTCAACAGTATGGGCTCAGTTAGAACTGTGACCTGATCTTGCCACCCTTGTCTCACCCTGATCCAGCTGGTCAACAGTATGGGCTTAGTTAGAACTGTGACCTGATCTTGCCACCCTTGTCTCACCCTGATCCAGCTGGTCAACAGTATGGGCTTAGTTAGAACTGTGACCTGATCTTGCCACCCTTGTCTCACCCTGATCCAGCTGGTCAACAGTATGGGCTTAGTTAGAACTGTGACTTGATCTTGCCATCCTTGTCCTGGGGACAGCCTGGTAGAACTGTGACCTGTACCCCAGACCTGCCTGGTGATTGGACAGTCGACCAGCAGAATCAGCTTCATCATCATCATCTACAACTCCAACAGCAGTGGTATCACAAGAGAAGGGTTTGAGGGAAGTGTGTTTAATCAAGAGCAACAGACAGGTAAGGTGGTCTCCAGCAAATATGTTTGTTTCTACACACACCTTCACACACGGTTGTCTGGTTGTTTCCACACACGCCTTCACACACATCAGTCTGGTTGTTTACACACAAACCTTCACACACCATTGTCTGGTTGTTTACACACACACCTTCACATACAGTTGTCTGGTTGTTTCCACACACACACACCTTCACACATAATTGTCTAAATATTTCCACAAACACCTTCACATACAGTTGTCTGGTTGTTTCCACTCACACACACACACACACCTTCACACAGAGTTGTCTGCTTGTTTCTACACACACCTTCATACACAATTTTTTTGGTTTTTTTCCACACACACAATTGTCTAGTTGTTTCCACACATACTGTTGTCTATTTGTTTTCACACACACCTTTACACACAGTTGTCTGGCTGTTTCCACACACACCTTCACACAAATATGTCTGGTTGTTTCCACACACACCTTCACATACATATGTCTGGTTGTTTCCACACACACCATCACACACAATTGTCTGGTTGTTTCCACACACACCTTCACACACAATTGTCTGGTTGTTTCCACACACACCTTCACACACAATTGTCTGGTTGTTTCCACACACAGCTTCACACACAATTGTCTGGTTGTTTCCACACACACCGTCACATACAGTTGTCTGGTTGTTTCCACACACACTTTCGCACAAGTATGACTGGTTGTTTCCACACACACCTTCACACAAATATGTCTGGTTGTTTCCACACACACCTTCACACACAATTGTCTGGTTGTTTCCACACACACCTTCACACACAATTGTCTGGTTGTTTCCACACACACCTTCACACACAATTGTCTGGTTGTTTCCACACACACCTTCACACACAATTGTCTGGTTGTTTCCACACACACCTTCACATACAGTTGTCTGGTTGTTTCCACACACACTTTCGCACAAGTATGACTGGTTGTTTCCACACACACTTTCGCACAAGTATGTCTGGTTGTTTCCACACACACCGCCACACACAATTGTCTGGTTGTTTCGACACACACCTTCACACACAATTGTCTGGTTGTTTCCACACACACAATTGGCTGATTGTTTCCACACACACAATTGTCTGGTTGTTTACACACACACCTTCACACACAATTGGCTGGTTGTTTCCACACACACCTTCACACACAATTGTCTGGTTGTTTCGACACACACTTACTTTCACACAAATATAACTGGTTGTTTCCACACAAACCGTCACACACAGTTGTCTGGTTGTTCACAATTTGTACTAGTTGTCTAATTATTCTCTGTTCTGTGTGTGTGAATTTGGTTGGGTTTTTGTTTTCACCTTGCAATTATTCAAATAAAGGCAGTGACACTTAGTGTCTGCTTTATGTTCAAGATTTCAATTTATTTTTTCTGTCACAACCTTTGACATTTTCTGTTATAATGATTGCTTGTTTCAGCAAACCCCGTCCACGAGGATTGTGGCACTCCGTTGAAGATCAGACACAGCATAGGGATATATGTATGAATGTATGTGAGGTGTCTGTGTGAGGTTGCAAGGTGAGGTAATAGTATCATGTGGCAGGGTGAAATAACAGTAAGGTGGCACAGTGAGTTACAGTATGAGGTGGCAAGGTGTTTCAAACAGTGTCACACAAATATTTCTGGGTGAAGTAACAGTGTAAGGTTTAAAGGTGAGGATGTCTGGTGTTTCCACACACAACTTTGAGGAAACTGTGTAAGGTTTCAAATTGAGGAAACAGTGTGAGGTGGCAATGTCAGGAAACTGTGTGAAGTGGCAAGGTGGGAAAACAGTGTAAGGTTTCAAGGTGAGGAAGCAGTGTGAGGTTTCAAAGCAAGGAAACGGTGTGAGGTTTCAAAGTGAGGAAACAGTGTGAGGTTTCAAGGTGAGGAAACAGTGTGAGGTTTCAAAGTGAGGAAATGGTGTGAGGTTTCAAGGTGAGGAAACTGTGAGGTTTCAAAGTGAGGAAACAGTGTGAGGTTTCAGTGTGAGGACACAGCATAATGAGGTAACATGTATGAGGTGGCTGTGTGAGGAAACAGTGTGAGGTTTTAAGGTGAAGAAACAGTGTGAGGTGGCAAGGTGAGGAAACAGTGTGAGGTTTCAAGGTGAGGAAACAGTGTGAGGTGGCAAGGTGAGGAAATAGTGTGAGGTGGCAAGGTGAGGAGACAGTGTGAGGTTTCAAGGTGGGTAAACTGTGTGAGGTTTCAAATTGTGGAAACAGTGTGAGGTGGCAAGGTGAGGAAACAGTGTGAGGTTTCAAAGTGAGGAAACAGTGTGAGGTTTCAAAGTGAGGAAACAGTGTGAGGTTTCAAGGTGAGGAAACAGTGTGAGGTTTCAAAGTGAGGAAACAGTGTGAGGTTTCAGTGTGAGGTTTCAATGTGAGGAAACAGTATGAGGTGGCAAGGTGAGGAAACAGAGTGAGGTTTTAAGGTGAGGAAACAGTGTGAGGTTTAAAGGTGAGGTAACAATGTAAGGTTTCAAGGTGAGGAAACAGTGTGAGGTAGCAAGGTCAGGAAACAGTGTGAAGTGGCAAGGTGGGGAAACAGTGTAAGGTTTCAAGGTGAGGAAACAGCGTGAGGTTTCAAAGTGAGGAAACGGTGTGAGGTTTCAAGGTGAGGAAACAGTGTGAGGTTTCAAGGTGAGGAAACAGTGTGAGGTTTCAAGGTGAGGAAACAGTGTGAGGTTTCAAAGTGAGAAAACAGTGTGAGGTTTCAAAGTGAGGAAACAGTTTGAGGTTTCAAAGTGAGGAAACAGTGTAAGGTTTCAAAATGAGGAAACAGTGTGAGGTTTCAAAGTGAGGAAACAGTGTGAAGTTTCAAAGTGAGGAAACAGTGTGAGGTTTCAAAGTGAGGACACAGTATAAAGTTTCTAAGTGAGAAAACAGTGTGAAGTTTCAAAGTGAGGAAACAGTGTGAGGTTTCAAAGTGAGGAAACCGTGTGAGGTTTCAAAGTGAGGAAACAGTGTAAGGTTTCAATGTGAGGAAACAGTGTGAGGTTTCAAAGTGAGGAAACAGTGTGAGGTTTCAAAGTGAGGAAACAGTGTGAGGTTTCAAGGTGAGGAAACAGTGTGAAGTTTCAAGGTGAGGAAACAGTGTGAGGTTTCAAAGTGAGGAAACAGTGTGAGGTTTCAAGGTGAGGAAACAGTGTGAGGTTTCAAATTAAGGCAACAGTGTGAGGTGGCAAGGTGAGGAAACAATGTGAAATGGCAAGACAGTGGGAGGTTTCAATGTGAGGAAACATTTGGACTCAACTAACATGCTTAATGTGATGTATGTGTGTGTTTGTAAGGATAAGGGAAGTAGAGCATGTGGTACGTGTATGCATGCATGCGTGCATGTGAAACAATTGCATCTTGTCTATGAAAAACTGATCTATTTGTTAGATGATATCTGTTCACCTGTAGGGAGCAGGCCAGACAGTGTGAGGTGGTCGTTGTGAGGCAGTGTGTGGGTGTCTGTAGTTAAGAGTACTAGGTTGATTATGCGTGTGTGTATTTGTGAGAGAGAGAGATAAATTGATCAGAAGTGTGCTTTGTATAATGAGTGTAATATAATGTATATAAATATACCCCAAGAAGAAAGATGCACATATTTGCCTGTGATCCAGTCCAGATCCTGTTGTTTCATTATTTTGTTTCATATTTCTTTCACTCACACTCAGTTTTGTGTGTGTGTGTTGCAGATGTGTGTGTGAGTCAGTGAGTGAGTTAGTTTGTTAGTAAGAAATAGTTTCTACCTTGTAAATTAAAAGATACAAATTTTGTTAATTTCGTTTATATTTATTTATATGTGTGGGAGTGTCTATGGGGGTGACTGGCGGGAACGGATGGTCCTACCTCGAAAATTTATTGGGGATGGGGCTGGCTTAAAATGCATGATTCCCCCAGGGGCCTGTGTTCTGCCTGCGAGCAGTTTTCTCATGAGAAAGCCACAAGGCCTCTTCTTTAAAGGCTCTGATTCAGCAGCATGTTCTCTACTGGCCCATTCAGATTGTTGCTCCCCTGGTTCACAAAGATGGTTGCTCCCCTGGCCCATACAGATTGTTGCTCCCCTGGCCCATACAGATGGTTGCTCCCCTGGCCCATACAGATTGTTGCTCCCCTGGTTCACAAAGATGGTTGCTCCCCTGGCCCATACAGATTGTTGCTCCCCTGGCCCATACAGATGGTTGCTCCCCTGGCCCATACAGATTGTTGCTCCCCTGGCCCATACAGATTGTTGCTCCCCTGGCCCATACAGATTGTTGCTCCCCTGGCCCATACAGATTGTTGCTCCCCTGGCCCATACAGATTGTTGCTTTCCTAGTCCACAAAGATTGTTGCTCCCCTGGCCCATACAGATTGTTGCTCACCTGGCCCATTCAGATGGTCCCCCCCCCCCCCCTCCTGGCTCATACAGATTGTTGCTCTCCTGGCTCATACAGATTATGGCTCCCCTGGCCCACACAGATTGTGTTGACCCCCCCCCCCCTCCCGGCCCATACAGATTGTGGCTCCCCTGGCCAAAACAGATTGTTGCCCCCCTGGCTCATACAGATTGTTGCTCCCCTGGCTCATACAGATTATGGCTCCCCTGGCCCACACAGATTGTTGACCCCCCCCCCCCCCCTCCCGGCCCATACAGATTGTGGCTCCCCTGGCCAAAACAGATTGTTGCCCCCCCCCCCCTCCCCCGGCACATACAGATTGTTGCTCCCCTGGCCCATACATATTGTTGCTCCCCTGGCCCATACATATTGTGGCTCCCCTGGCCCATACATATTGTGGCTCCCCTGGCCCATGCAGATTGTGGCTCCCCTGGCCCACATTGGAGAGAATTGATTTCTGGGGATTGGCATCTGGTGGCAGGTTTTGTGAGATGGCAAGTGTGCACTTTCTGACTGGTCTAGCTGGAGAACTATCGCCGTCTTGTGATGTGGTTGTCCCTGGGGAACTTCTGGTAGAATAAGGCAGCTTTTGTTTGTTGTCACGTATGGGGGCA